AGAGAATTCAGAATCGCGCATGCGCAGTTTGTTTTTTTCGCTCGCATTACCGTCTCCTGTGCGTACCGTCTCGTTACTAAAGCGCCCTATATTACCGCTAGGCCAACTTACATCTCCCAAGTGCCATCGTCGTATACAACTCTTTTGCTCCACATAATTGGTTGGGAAGGGGCTCACGGGCTTACACATTGTACAAAATAACAAAATTGTATCGTACTCGTACCCACAAATTTCATATTCCGTAACAATGGTGCCAGAAAAAAGGCCAACTGGTGGTGCTGGACAATGGCGGTTCCGGGATTGACAGAAAAAGGGGGGATGGCAACCCCTTTTCCTACTATGCTGATAAAACGTAATCTCAAGACCCCCTCTTCATCCTTTCCCCGCATTTAAATTTTCATGCTTAGGAAAATGTACCACTTAATAACGCGCGATCTGTCAAAATTCAAGAATACATTTGACATTTACCTCGGATTACTGTAACATCAATCACTTATAAAGTGTGATGCTAAGCCCAAGCACTGCTTTAAATAAGTATCCACTTTTGTTTCAAATAATATGCAGTTGTAAAATAGATTTTAAATCAGTATCACTGGTAAGACTGGTATACGCGTTGACCCTGTTCACTTATCATGTCTGTCACCTAACGGTTGTCATCTTGTAAGCTATACATTAGCAGGATGCGACGGGACACATCATTTATCTCATTAAAATAACACGTTAATGCATTCCTTTTGTACACAGTGCATCAAAAGAACAATGCGGATCGTCAGTGCCTCTCCATTGTGATGAGAAAAGTGAGAAGAAAAAATAAAGATATAAACCAGATAAATCAGGAACATAAACCGTAACTTTGGAAAGTGGTTAGTGAAAGTTGAAAGGCCTAAGAATAACGACAGGTTTTATTCAACACGACTTGTGTGGGTAGGCCTGTTTGTAAGAGGAGGTTTGCTTTTTATCGTTTGTTTTAGGATCGACAATAATTATGTTAAAGAGCAGTTTCTTCACACATATACCTTGTCTTCATAAAGACGGCGGTGCATGAATTTCATTTGCATAATTAGCATTCAGGAATATATTCGCAAAGTGCTTTTTGTCTATAACTGCACCATACATCGCTCTGTTCGATGTAAGCTGTCGTGGCGCCTTTGTATTGTTTTTATGCCCCACCCTGTGCAATGATGTACGAGCTCCTTGTAAAAGCTATGCTGTCGTGTCTTGTATATGTTATGTCGGCACTACAGTGAACGGAATGTAAAGTTAATGAACGTTGATCGATGGCATGCCAGATAAAATTAATATACAACAGACTCCGCTTTCCCATTATCATTGTAGCCGCGGAAGAAGTCTTCTAAGTTCTATCAGTGTATATAGCCCACATAATAATATCCGACAATAATATTGTTGGTTTATCAAGCGATCTCAACTGCTTTCGAAAATACAACATAAGGCAATTTTAGTTCAGTGTGTCACCTATTGAAATGTGCAAACACGACAATTTACGTAAACCGAACATGATTTCTATGGGACATACAGTAGGGTATTGAAAGTGCCCCTTGAGTTGATTTTCGAAAATAGTTGAGATCGTTTTTATACATTCCTTTCTTAGACTGAATATTTTCTCGAACCTGTGCGATATGTTTAATACATGTTCTTATACAAGATATAGGCCCTCCATTATATAGAGTACGTCATCAAAATCCAACAAAAAATTGATTTGATTTCAACCCCCCCCCCCCCCCCCCTCTTTATGAGTTTGATGCCAGCCCGAGGGGGAACTCCCCCTTTAAAATGTATACGAATGTAGTAACCGAGCACGAATGGAGTAATGTTTCTTTGACGGTGGAGGGCGTTTCCTCTGTGGTTCCTTCAAAGAGTTCAGAGACGGGTGACTATCATGGTGGAACATGGCAATGATGCTAAAAAAAATGGGGCAGATGGAAAAAGGGAAGAAGAAGGAGAGAGAGAGAGAGAGAGAGAGAAAGAGATAGAAAAGAGAGAAGAGAGGCGTAGACTCTGATATGGATTGGGTATAGATGTAAAATAAAGATATCACAATTTCAAAATGCTGTTTCCTTATTAATAATTATGGCATTTACTGGAGGCATTTGCCGAAATGAATCCCAAATTCCCACTTTCAGTTTCAAGTCTACAGTCTTTCATGCGGCATGTTTCTAAAAAAAAAAAAATCCGTATCATCTCAAAATGCCACTTTCCACTCCAAATCCATTTAAAACACATTCTGAAACCAGTCAGGAAATACAGGAAACAATCCCTTTTCAATCATCCTTCAAAAGGGAAACTCCTTCATGACCCTTCAGCTCCATTTGGGTCACCATGGTAACGCTTCATAATTTTCTACATGAAAAATTTGAATTTTTAAGAGTCTTCTTGTCAAAATCCCCAAAGTTGTTGATGTCTTACTTCTTTAATTTCTTTTTACTTGGTTTTTATTTTGTTGCATTTGCCTGTGTAAAAATAGTTTTCGGTAAATTAAGTCCGACCCCCCCCCCCTCTTTCCCTCCCCCATCCCCTTTCCCCCTCAATTCAAATTAGCTCCAGCTACACCCCTCCGTTAAGACTCTGTTTGAGTACGTCGTGTCCTATCGGTCTCTCCTCTTAAAAATAGATAGGCAAAGTACACTATTTACACAACGGAGATAGATTTCACTTCACACATATCTAGGATTCCTTTCTCATGTCGTCATCTTGCTTGTTTCATCCTCCTTTGTTCTCTTATTGTGACGTATACGATCCCTGTTAGAAGGAGCACCGTCTTTAATTCTTCAACGCCAATCAGGAAATGAAATTCACCTCCTCCGCTCAGATCTGTCTGTCTGGCGTAATCGAAAGTCGAAACATCCCCGGGGTCGGCATGAGTTTAACACACATCTCAAAATCTATCATTTTGGTTTATTACATTTTGGTTTATTTTAGTGACCTCCTGTAGCGGCGGAGATACTTACTTTGACCTTTCTTTTACAAAAAAATAAAAAGATATTTAAGTTGAGAGCAGAGCGAGTGAGATAAGATTAAAACAGCGACAACTAAAAGGTAATCCTGCGAGAAAAATTAAAATGCATCCACTCCGTTGATATATAGCAGCTGCATCTTTTACGCGAACGAGCTTACTAATGATGAACATAATTATACGATGTTCTTTCGTCACTATGTTGTCAATGTAGTATTTAAAGAAATGTATGATTTAACTGTTCTTTACTCATTAATTACTGGTGATTTATCAGATGGTTTTGAGATCATTCTCAGAATACACGTTGATAATTCCGTTTTTAAATGTTCCAAACTTTAATGAAAGTACCAAATTTGCGAGATTTCGATGTTGAACAGAAATTGCTTGATAACCAAAATGATTATGTTTTCTTAACAATGATAATAGCTCTCGGGAAATATTTCCCGACACAATCTTACTTTCATAACGGTGACGAATCAGAAAGATGTCTATATTCGGTGAAAGGTCTCGATGTCTCTATGTTTGACTGAAAGAAAATACAATACAAACACACACCCACATAATTATCTCTATTCTATTATTCTCTATGGAGTGTCTATTGACTTATCCTTGGCGTAGTTTTCTTTTCCCACTCGGGTGCCAAATGGGTTTCGTGATCGATTTTTGGTTTTAAAAGAATGCCTTCTGATTCATAGGTAGAAAAAAATGGTTTTGATTACCATTTTATTATGAGAATGCGTTCATGTCGTCTGCGAGAAAATGATGTCTTAATGTCGTAATTGTTCCAGTTTCGTTGAGGCAATGCGTGTAATGTAATAACAACAAATTAAGGTTGCAGATCCATGGAAAACGGAGCGCCTCCCTGCCTCCCCCCACACACACACACATTCACACACCACCAAACCATCTGCCATATGTTTTAGTAACCCCTACCCCCAGTATCAGCACCACTCTACAACCACGACTACTACAATTTATTTTACCAAACATTACCAAACAATAATATACCGTGAAACCAAAGGCCCCTTTTCTGCTTATGGACAGTTATGTTTCTTTGAGTGCTTGCCAACTATATCCTTTGTCTGTTAATTGTTTTCTTCAAATTGATTGATGCATTTACATTGTAATTACATGAAAATGCATCCAAGGTTGAATGTCGGGTTATGTTTCTCTGAATAATATTGAGCTGTGCATAGAAATCTATAATGCCGATAATTGGATTAGTCTGTTATAATTGTCTTTAACCATGTCATGGTATGACTATGCCACATAAAGAGAATCATTTGGTATAACCATCCTTTGCGTGAGAAGTAGAAGAAAAGAGAGAGAAATATAGATAGAGAGAGAGATGGGGTGGGATAGAGAGAGAGAAAAAAAAAAAGCATTAGGCTACATGACTAATGACTTCCCCCATCATCATGATCATAATTATTTTCAAAGGACACTACATTTTTAGTATGATATTCTTAATGAAGCTATATTCAAAGGACATTGAATTTTCAATATCGAGTTTTATTGAACTTTTATTTGATATTTTCTTCGAAGAACATTACTGGGGTTGTTCTCTCCCTTTCATTGCTCTATCACACTGCAAACAACCATCTTTATTATCCCTGAATATAGAGACTGTCCGCATCCATCGTCAAATTATTCCTCTTACACAAATACATATGGTTCATTGTTTTCCTCCTCCATGTTTCTACAAAAACACCTCGATTCCGGACCAATTTGGTCCATACGACGTGGATAAGGACAAATAAAGAAATACGTTTATGAATAATAATATAATGAGCATATAATTATGTACGCGTGTTTTTGTTTTTGTTTTTGTTTTTGGCGTATTTTGAAGAATAACGAAGGAAAAGATATATTTGCCATATTTCCTTGGCGCAAAATAGTGACATAACAGGGAAGCCCTTGTTTAAAGCTTCTTTTTTCTCTTTCGTGTATCTTGTATGGTTTCACGATTCGCATCTTAATGATGTTATTAAATTCAATCTTTCACATTTTGTTCTCCATCATCATGCAGGAGGTTACAGAGACAGAGGTGCCTGCCAGCCGGCTCCACTCGGGGTCCCGAAACGGTAACGGCCACCTTCACCACCACGACGACGACACCGAACAACTTTCCGAGGACATCCAGTCCTTACATCGGCAACCCAAGAACCCCGAGTACTCCGAGTCCGTCACCGTATCGCGTATCCCCGCGCATCAGGAATACCGCTACGGCATGCGGTGCGACATCGAGAACCCAAGACGTTACCGCGACGCAGTCCAACTCGTACCCGGTCAGACCAACCCCGGTCGGTACTACAGCACTTTCACGCAGTGCTACATCAACAGCTCGTACCGCCGCCGCCGGTACAGGGAGACCGTGTACATCCGACTCAACGCGCCGAACCCAAAGCAGTACTCCACCAAGGTGTTCGTCTTCCCCCAGTCGGTGAGGGAGACATTCGTCAGCGAGGTCGATCACCATGACGAGGAGACGATAAAATGGTACAAGGTGGGCGTCAAAATGGAGGCCAGGGACTATGTGTCGGTCAAATTCATGCAAGTGAATTGATCAGGGCGAATATGTGTGTTGCCATGGTAATGAAACATTTCCATAAAATTACTATGTTGGACGTTATGAATTATTATATCAGGTCATTTCTTTCATGGAGTGAAATTATGCACCATCGCTTGCTCGAGCATTGGCTGTGTGCATCGACGGAGACTTGACCGAACCACATCCATTCGTATTCTCGAATCTTCGTGTAACCAACCAACATCTGGGATATTTAACCGACGGTGAAATAATCATGAAAAGATACTATTTTCTTCCACGAAACATACTAAAAGAGAGTTAACACATATTGGTAAAACAAATAGAAAGAATGACTAATAATGATGTGTGAGGACTTTTGATCATAATGTCCATTGACACTCTGGAATAGGTAACAAGGAACATTGTTTGTATCCATACATGATTAGTGATGCCCCTGGTGTTCTGAAATAAGGAGTGCATTGTTATGACTCATAGATTAGAATGGTGATAAAGTAAAACCTGTATATAAAGACCACGCAAGTGAAAAGCGTACTTTATAGGCAGGTGATTCTTCTATAGTCCTACAGGTCACTATGTGATCTTTCCATGCAGATTACTGTGTGGACTTTCTATACAGGTTCCCCAGGATACATATTCCAAGAGAAATACAGTCAAGAGGAAAATGAGATCTTGAAAGACACGTGGTCTTTATATACAGGTTTATATACAGGTCGCCACTGACGTAGGTTTGTCTTTATAACTTAAACTTCAATTAATTATGCAATGCTTATTTTGTATAGGGGCAATATATCGGGTCAACTCACGTTTAATTATATACCTTCGTATTTTACGATCATGCTTACCTTTTTTTCTGCATCGAGATTCTAAAGTATTCTTTCTTTGTACTTTGTTGGCTGATTATAATCCAATGCAAACGTTCAAGATACTTTGAAAATACCCCTCTCCTGTTTTAATTTTCTTGGCTTGAAGTTGAAACTATTTATGTCTGTATATTAATTAACTAAATATATTTCCCCCTGAAAATCAAATGAATTCTTTCTTTTTTTCCAAAGTAGTAAACCTTGTTTTTCTGAAACTTTCAGGGATGTTTTTCTTCAATCCTAAGACAGAGATTAATAACTAAAAGTAATTACTGGCATGTGTATGTGAAAATAATTGAAATAGTTTATAATTCACGAGATCAGGGCTTCTTATAAAGAGTTGATATCAATCGTAATTATTAATATAAGAAAGTGTGAAGATATTATTCCACACTCGAAGAATAGCGTCTAAAAATCTAATACAATTTTACTCGAGTATGAAACAAAGAGATGGAGACATTCCTCTGTATGCTCAAACATTCTCGGTTCATCCAAAGAGAGAAAATATTAATCCATTCCATATTCCATAAATATCATATTAGAACCAGATATGAATATCAATAGCAATAACATTGGATACGTGTATAAGTCATGATCCACCACGCAAGATGCCCAAGGTGCTCAAAATTAATGTATCCCTGGTTTCCAGGCTACCGATTTCGGTGCTCACACCGTTGAAGGAACGAACCCCTTCCTCTCGGTACCCATTGAATTTTTGGGTAGAGATAGGAAAATGTTGAGAAATGTCGTACCAAAGGTCTCTAGTACTGCCCGTGACTGGATGCTTAAATCACTCGACTACCACATCACATTTCCTAGTTCGTCCCCAACATAGACTTGGATGATTATTGAATTTCTAGGAGAAAGTCTTAGTAATCTTTTTACAGATAATTTATTAGTTAGAAAAAAAATCACTGCCTAAAAAAATAAATTATAGAATTTATTGATATTTGATGGGGTTAATTATTTTCGTCATTAGTTTGAAAAAGGATTTGCCCGAGACACTAGATTGGCTTTATATATTTATCGTAACAATTATACCCCCCCCCCGATCCATCAGGCTGATATTTTTAGTCAAAAATATTACATTTAGGAAAATTAATTTCAGCAGTCACAGAGACTTTCGAAAATGAACTTAGGGTAATTTCAATACCCTATTGAAAAGGCCATATATTGAAATTAACTTAAAACTTTATTTTTCAAACGCTTTCCGTACTATTTTTATCAATCATATCATTTTTTAGGAGATTCCCAAATTTTAAAGAAAAGTAGAAAGTTGTAGATAGATATAGTATGTTTCTATACATTCGCAATTCATTGTGTATTATAATGTAAATACAATTTTTTAGTATTTAGTGTGTACTGTTTGTGATCGTGATGATTGTGTTTTTCCATGTTATAATAAATTGTATCATGCTGCAGATTGTAAATATTTGTTTGTGATGAAAACGAATAATAAATGATGAAAACTACAGTCTTTGCAAATTATTCGTGACACATTGTGGCATTTATTTAGCATTGTAGTGTACAGCGTACACCTAAACTTTTTGTTCATTATGTATAAATGAACTGTGCATGGACAATCGACTACGTAAATGCACATCAATTTGAACATTATACAAATTGCAATGTAGAAAAAAAAAGAGGGACAAAGTTGTAGAGGAACATCGATGCCAGTATCTACATGTACCGTATAAAAACACAAATACAATGCGACTTATTGTAAGACATAATATTTTATACCAATATATCCCCATATTTAAAAAGGGCAGAGGTAGACAAGGGGAGTGAGCGAGAAAGATAGGGAAAGAAAGAAAGAAGAGAGAGAGAGAGAGAGAGAGAGAGAGAGAGAGAGAGAGAGAGAGAAGGAAGAGAGAGAAGGGAGGGAGAGGTAGAGAGAGAGAGAGAGATAGAGAGATAGAGAGAGAGGGAAAGAGGGAGCATGTATACCGGAGATCAGTAAATACAAAACTGGTCATGGTTTACCGGAGATGGAGCTACACCTTTCTAGAGCATAGTGTCCCTTTATAAAAGGACTCTACCGTATTTCGTGCTAGAAAAAATAGAACTATACAGGGCATTACTACATTCACTAATAAAACTTCTCCTTTTATACATTTATGTCCATGTAGTTCATGTTAAGACGAAAAGCTAAAGACGGTCCCATGTTTTTGACAAATCGTATCATATGGTACTATATAATTAAGAATTGAAATTGCATAAATACAAATTCAAGTACATAGATGCAAATTACTCTCCTCCCGAACAAATGAAACGAACGGAGATAAATGTATACAGCATTACATGCCTTTCAAACATTAAAGAACAAGTTTTACCGACACATCTAAACACCTCAAAAAATTAATTGATTATACATGTATCTCTCTTGTCATGGCATGATCATAGCTATGTTTGGTATCATTAGTAAGTGGGTTCATTACTTTTTAAACTGATACCCCATCTGTTGTGATTTTTCAGTCATGTAATGTGTAGTAGATCAAAATAAAGGGCAAATTCAAAAGTCAAAAGCGATGATTATGCCATGATAATAAGAGAGCTTTAATCGATCCAACTTAGAGGGAGTTGCACCAGTTTTCACGAAGATGCTGCAAGTTTCCACTGCTTTGCATGGACAATAAATAGAAACCTTGTGAACCAATTTGAACGAAAATCTCTGCCTCTAAATAAATAATTTATGTTTAAGCGGAATTAATATTTTAAGAATGGACGAATAAACAGAAAGACAATATGAACTTGGATATGGGATAAACATTTGTTCAAACATAAATTTCAAACGGTACATTTCAAGGTGGCATAGTATTGCACATTTAAACAAAACGTCAACAATAATATTCAGGCAACATAAAATGATAAAACAGAACAAATATTCATGAACATGTCAAAACAAGAGTGAGAAGATTGCTTAAAATCCGACTCAGATTCTGCTTGGCTTCTGCAACAAAATCCGTAACATCAAGGGCATAAATTACATTGCAACAAAATCTGTAACGTCTGGGGCATAAAAATAAATGGCTATACAGGGTAATGTGCTACTTGTTCTTGGCAAATTACTAGCAAATCGTGCATAAATCGTTTGCCTGAAACACGCTAAACTCCGAGGAGGCATTATGTGTTTTAACGTATTGAAATAAAGGTTCAAAGTTACTGTACATCCTGAACGGTACAACATAGAGAAAGGTGTATACGTTGGCCATATATATGGAGGAGTAGATGTGGGCCTTCAAACTTTCAAAGGATGCAGTAAAGGTTAAACCCTAAATGGCCCTATTTTGCCCCTTAAAGGTACTATGTCCCTTTTGCAGGCCAAAAAAATGAAAAGGTTAAATTCCAATGGCATTTGAAAGATAATACTAATTTAGAACTCCCCTTAAAAGAATGGGGTTTGAATATGTCTTTAAGTGGGAAAATAACGATTATTATTAGTCAAATCGACTTAGGAGCTATAGAGCCAATAGTAATAGTAAAAGTAATAGTCTTGATTTTCAGACGATTGTACCGCATGGTTGTACGTTTTATGCTGCGCAAAGATTCAATCAGTTTAATTTTGGCCATTACAAGAAGTGGGTTATTGTAGTAGACAAATTCTTTACAGCTCATTGTATGTATGTTATTACCAAAGAAGAAGAAAAAGCCAGTCAGTCACTCCACACTGACAATAGTGTCTGACAGTGAAGTCTAGTAGGTAAACGGATTTTCTTGCATAATTTGAATATAAGGACACTGCTAACGTTTAAATTTCAGAGATAGGATATACATGACATATTCATAATTCCTGCAAAGTTCTACAGAATTTGAGGTTGGCTGCAAAAGGGACATAGTATATCTTTAAAGGGCACGGATTTGTATCGGTATAGGATGAAAACATGGACCTATATAAACTAAACCGCTAGTTAACAATTCTTTCCCCTTCTCATTCTTTATAATAAAATAAATAATAGTGAACATTTATAATGCGCCATGTCTGTCAAAAATGACACTCCTGGCGCAGTACAATACATAGAATAAATGTCTATCATTAAATCCTGAATAAATACTTTATTAATGTTATTTCAAATTTGATTTAAGAAATACATTGGCACTTCTCACAGCAAAATACGCTTTTAATCGGTTGAAAAAATAAACACACACACACACACACACACACACAAGCAAAAGCGTCACAGAAATGAATAAAACAATGACCAGTTACCTTCCAACCGAAATATACCGAAATCTAATACTACGACCTACAGGCTTTAAATCATTTTCTTCAAACCACTACGCTTGTTTCAAGAACATATTATTCCAGAATCGGGACATCCCAGGGCCCCATTTCACAAAACTTGGATCAGCGAAAAATGACAGCTTTTGTTATAAGCTAGTGAAATCCTTGCTTCTGATTGGTAAAAGAAGCAGCAGATTTGTCACTGATTTTTGTCATTTGTCATTGGAAAATGACTTTGTGAAACGGGACCTAGAAGACCGACAGCTCATGAGACCGACAGTCCACGTGACAGATAGCGCTCAGAAAAGTTGTTAGAAGGCCAAAGAGCCTGACGTATCTGTCTCAAACATGTAGCCTATCGGCTTTGTGAGCTCTCGGTCTTGTGGAGTGTCGGTCTTATGGGATATCGGCCCTATGAACCCACATAAAACGTTTCAGAAAAGCCTGCAAGAACGCCATGACTGCCTAATGGGCTATCGGTCACGTGGATAAGAGCCTTCCAGAATTCATGTACGTGTAGTTGACTGTTGAAGCGTTACTGAATAATGAAATATGTCTTATAATTTCAATAAGTTCCAGCTTTTCTTTCATATTTTCACGTGCAACATGTAGACTTTCATTTATCTACTCTTCCTTAGTCTAAATTCCACTTCAAGACGCATGATACACAAAAATTAATAATATATAAATAAAAATGAACACAAAATTTATTTTCACTTTGTAATTTCACGGAAGACATTGCATAAATTGATTGTGCTTTACAGTACAATAAAATTTGGGCGAATCTTCTACTAACTTCCCGGATCCAGGGACGCAAGTTCCACAGCGAATTTCAGAACACCCTCCGTATCCCGTCTCTGCTTCACAATGTCCATCAGATATCTTTTCCTTCGATTCACCTTGTAAATTCGGATCCTCTCTTTTTCATCCTCGGGATTCGAGCACGGATTGTCCCATCTCAAACACTCGTCGAGGGTTGCCGAAACGTTATCCACCTCGTTCTCCAGTTCCGAAGATCCCCGACCATCTTCGGTGGTCGCTCTTGAGCTCCCGCTGCCACTCCTCTGCACGGACAGCGCCGAAGGTTGCCGTTGCCTCTCGAAAATGTCCGAGACGCATTTCTCCAGGTATTCGTTCTGCGTTCGTATGTCCGAACCGCTGCTGCTGTTGCTCTTCCGAGTTCCAATGGACACCGAAGTGAGGGACTTGCTGTTGTTTGATTGTGAAGGGTGTGACAAAAGTGAACCGTTTTTCTTATTGACGCGGTTGTCAGGCGTTATCCGATTTCGATCTGCAAATAAAATTTAAAAAAGTAATGAAAAGTTACACATCTACATGTAGCTTTAACAATGTTGAGCAACTGCCTAGAAGCGTTAAACATTTACAGTTATAATTCTCTGCATGACGAATTATCTGAATTGAAAAAAATTACATAACACCATAAAATGAACTGAACTTGTAAATGAACACGTGTATAGGGTGGTGTCTTGACTTCATCACATCAAGACGAAAAATAAGCGAATGTAAAAGTCATTTTACAAGGTACCGCATAGAGATATGGCATATGAGAATGCATCACAATGAAGATGTTTTATATCAATTATTCAATCTAAGCGAGGGTAAATTCATATTTAAACATAGAATTTACATGTTCGTCTCTGTCATCCCCATTTATTCAGAAAAGTATCAACTTCTCATGCAGTACGATTATTAAACAACTGTTTTCGTTTAGGCAATTATCATTATGCATGTTGTATATTCGATCTCGAAAACATCGACGACTGATATGATACATAGATATTAATCGTTGTAAAAATACGAACACGAAATTGAAGGGGGAAAAAAGAGGGGGGGGTAGGGGATGCCTGTGTTGCCGCAGGCTAGAAGGCACCCTCAAGTAGGAACATTGTTTTGTTTTACGGATGGGCTATACACCGCCATATTGAGGATACACCACCGGCTAGTACAATAGTATATACACATGTATATGATATCGTCTAAACATAGAGGATTTGAACGCACTTTGATTAATATCATCTCTGTGACGTGGAGAGCCATTCGAACGACCAGAGGCTGAGTTAGGTTGCGGACTCGATCCTTCAATTCTCCTGGGCAGAGCAACCAGGAAATCATTGTCAATGACCGGGAGCCGCAGCGGCTCCGTGTCTTCTCCTTTCGGCATCATCGTCGTAATCGAAGAACACACATCATATCAAGTACATTGCAAAATAAAAGTATCCTGAGTGAGTTGCTGTGATATCCCGTCAAAATAAACAAATCTATCTGCTCTGAACCGTCAAAGTTTAGTAACAGTCCAAAGCGTTTCAGAAATCGGACAATTCTAGTTGTTCACTCTTCACACCATATCCGATGGAAACTGATATCATCCGTATGTGCGATTTGCAAATAAAATTTGAGCGATAAAACATTTACTTCAGAATACCACAACGATTCATTGTCTATTAATCAAATAAGTTTATAGGAGCGGTGAGCTTCTTTGATGCATGATAATGTAGAGACAAAGACAAATAGAAACAATTACAACCGGCACTCGGAGGTTTACGGCACCATACAACAAAATAAAAGCAAGAGGTGTCACCCGTACAAACGGACAGCTACAAATGTATACAGCAGAATGACTCAGTATTGATGCGGATGCATGTACATATTCTTGGTAGCGAAACAGACCGCGTACATGACTTCATTTATAGTACCATACAACAATTGTCAGAAATGTTTTCCATCTCCATCTTGTCACGAATCAATATCGCCGTGATCTAATGTAACGGGTGACGAGTCACAAGCAAAGGGGTCTATTGAAACTCTCCAGACGAAAAACCACGACACAATCATCAAAATGTTCCTGGAGACAATAGCTGTTCCAATGCTATGTGATCATGCTATTGATACGCTTTGTGAAGGATATTGATTATTGATGCCTGGCTGGGAGAGAGCAGAGTTGTCGAACATGATGCGGTGAACCGCAGAGTAACCGCCAAGGTTGTGATGACCGCTCGGTTTAGATGGTTTAATGTTCACCCTTTAAAAATGACCAGGTTCGACATGAAAAAGGGGCAGGTGGTTACAACTTGCTTATGAATATAAAAATAGACCGACATCAAATTGGCAAAGCAAGGCATCACGACCTTATGAGTTATGTTTTTGTTCAGCACGTCTCGAGGTCGATGCACTACTTCGGCAACTTATTTTACACGTTCAAACAGTATAAGTATAAGTAAGTAAGTATAATAATTTATTGTCCTTTACAGGAAATTTGTTTTCCACTGGTTACAGAGTATTACAATATAAATATATACATGAAATATTACAATACAGTGATAAACATGAACATTATGATAAGCATACATAAAGAATGAGATAATATGTGAGTAAGCCACTGTATATATGGCAGTATGGTGGTTGAAGAGATAATATCAGATTCCATTTGATAAAAGAAACTAAATTGAGTTGCCAGATGTTGTCTTTATCTCCAAAAGATACATTCTCACACTAATCCAAATGATGTAAAATGTAAAATATCTGTTTCTTCGATAGTCTCTTTACGAATTCAAACACACACGAGGTAAGCTGTCAGATTTTGTCTTAATCTCGAACCATGTATATCCCAAATTGAAAACAAGATTTACAAGTTCACAAAAATGGTCAAATGCAAAAACATAATACAAGAGTCTTGGGTGAGATGTCAGATTTTTCTTTGTCTCTAAAACATGTATCTCCCAAGTTGAAAACAAGATGTACGATGGCTTCAACAAAAAATGTTCAAACACGAAAGATGAGCTGCCAAATTATGTCTTTTTCTCGAACCATGTACTATAGTTGTATATCCCAGGTCAATAGCAAGACGTGTGCAAGTAATGTTCAAATACGATAATTAGTCTGAGATATGAGCTGTCAGGTCGTGTATTTATACCTTGAAAATAGGAATATAGATGCAATTAATAATAATTCAAAATGCGTCGTGCACATGTTCGTTCAGAGTCCAGAAACAACAATGTAGAACACCATCCAAGTCTCAAGGAGTTACGTGACAACATTCCCTGGAAACGGTTGACGAGCCGAAATGGTGCATTACGTCCAAATGCAGTCTACGGTGGATCTCCAAATTGCACCACGTTCAAGAATCGGACAGAATGTTAGACGAGCAATAAATGTTAAGTTGATACGCACAAATCCATCAAAAGACTAATCCATTTCCCGAACTGATTTAATGACAAACATGGCAAATTGACGAGGATTTCATCTGTGCCCGTCTCTGTGACAGTGATTTGGTCATTTGGAGTATAGCCCGTATGGCTGTAGCTGAAGGAGATGGCGCATCCTTTTATGAGCGTACACTTTGTTTTCTCCTGAATATAACGGTGCTTATCTGTACGGTCTCAACACCAGAAGCGATTTTGAGATGTTTGCTTACGGGACAAAACAAACCTTCGATATCAGTCCGAATAAAAGACAAATCCCCTTCAAGAATTGAAAGCCGTGCCTTGAATTAGAAACCTTGTACAAACGTGTCCCCCCGGTGCGACGTATTGCGTAAGAACTATGGAGTTTGTAAATAACGGACGAACAAGGGTCGGGATTAATGCTTTTTGATGACACTTCGTCGCCAAACAAAGGGTTACAGATTTCGTATGAAAGGTAAGAGGAAGATGCCTCCAGCAACAGTTTTTTGGAGTAATCGTATTTTCAAAGACATACTTTCTGAGCCGCTGACGGCGTAAGCGCTTTCGATGATCAATAATCTAAATAGGCTTATCCTCCATCGATATCTCAATTTAAATACAAACTCTGTGCTCTTTTAGGGTTCGCTTTTGTTGTAGAGACTGGAAGCTTTATTATTCCTATATTATTTAGGGTTTAGAGTTACAAGTGTAGCTCTTACAAGTCGTGAATAAAACGTGATAACAGAAGAATTTAAAGAAAGAGGCAGTGGGATTGGTGAACAATGCTTTGCGTTAATTTTAAATCATTCATTAATTATTGTCCAATTATGTCCATTATGACATGGATGCTTTTTGCATAACATTCAGTAATGTATGAGGATTCTCTGGCTCTTTTCGTCATCACCCCCCCCCCCCCCCTCTCTCTCTCTCTCTTTGCACCATTGGATCTGCCACTGTAAATGAATAAAAGATTCAGAAATATGTTACTATACACAATATATTTTTGCACTTAGGAGGAAAAACATAAATTAAAGATATTTTTGTAAATGGCAAACGGGGGGAGTTATCCGCGGCTATACGTCACATGTCACTGACCAAACTGACTATTTGAGATTCCCATAGACTGAGGGATCTCGTATTTTCAAACGTTCATAAATTTCTTATTATTGGTCCAATTTAATTCAAACTCTCGCCATTCTGTTTCTCTTTCTCTTATCTTTCTGCTTCCATGCAACTATTGAAATGAACTTAATACAAGGGTTAGACTGCTCTTGAATGGATGTTGAGGATAGAGGTTGTTTTTGGATAGATTGTAAACCGTAAAGTAACATTGATTCAAAACTCATCATTAATTACCGATTCTACATCTCATATCCATTTTTTCAAACTTTATTTTCCAATCTACATGATTGAGTTGTCTGACCTGAATTGAATTTGTGTAAACTATATTCCGATTTGTGAAGTTGCCTTTATTTATCCTCAGACTTGTAAATGTAGAACCATGATTTTGCACAAATGCATTTTATCACCAATATTGTGCATGTGATGATTTTTCTTTTCTTTCCTGTTGTACATTGTACATGCTTGATTATGTATCTTCATGTATGTATAAATTGTTAATGGTCTGTTTGCCATTTTTAAACAACCAATGAGGCCCCTTAATTAAACAGAAAATGATATTTCTCGTCGGCAATCCCCAGAATTGCTTGTTGTTCTTGTTATAATAATCCATGAACACAATCAAAATTATTGTTGTTGTTCAATGTTTTGCTCCTGGAAATTAAATAGTTGAATAAATGAATGAATGAATAAGTATACATATAATACGGTAAGTAAATAAATAAATGGATGGATAGATGGATGGATGGATGGATGGATGGCTGGCTGGATGGATGGATAGATGGCTGGCTGGACGGATGGATGGATGGATGGATGAATGAATGAATGAATGAATGAATGAATGAATGAATAAATAAATAAATAAATAAATAAATAAATAAATAAATAAATAAATAAATAAATAAATAAATAGATAATTAATTTATGTAACTTAATTAAATGGATTCATATTAGTGACATCAACAAGTATATCACGATTCCAATACTCGCAACAACAAAAATCACCAAAGAGTAGTTTATAATTTTTCATGACTGTCAATGTTACAGGACAGATAACATTTCATGACCAGGAAAGGTGTAAAATCACATGTGTTTGCATTATATATGTATCTGACTATCTGTTTATCATTAATTGACTACAATCAGTTCCAGAATACATAATTTGAAGTTTAGTTTGTCTGACGTATGACAGAATTCCAAATCAAGGCTATCTTGAAAGCGAGCTAGCTTCGACACTGTTTTATTGAAATCTATCTTTAAAAATTGGAGAGCTGCTTGGTGAAAGCTTGAGAAAATTTGAGTTCAACAAAATAGCTTTCAAACTACATATTTGATTTGTAAATTTGAAATTGCAATCCTGATGATACAAGCTCACAACTTATATGTCCATACAGGTGTATGTAAATTCAAGTCGGACCATTTCTTAATGTATGCCTACATGTATATACCGGTACATATAAAATTTGATCAACAATATGAAATGGTCCATATAAAGCTATGCTCATGTACCGGTAATAGATTAATTAATTCTTTTACTTTGCGACTGTGTAGAATAGTGTTTTGTGTAGAATATGATAAATAATGAATCGAATGGCACATTTCTTATACTGTATGTCAGCAAACTTTGGACATATTCTTTTTATTTTCTACACAAAACGATATTCTACATAGTCGCAAAGTAGAAGAATTCATTGATTAGTTAAAATTGCGGTGCCAGGTAAAAATGTCAGAGGAAAAAATGTCAGAGGTAAAAATGTCAGAGGAAAAAATGTCAGAGGAAAAAATGTCAGAGGTAAAAATGTCAGAGGAAAAAATGTCAGAGGTAAAAATGTCAGAGGAAAAAATGTCAGAGGAAAATATGTCAGAGGTAAAAATGTCAGAGGTAAAGATGTCAGAGGAAAAAATGTCAGACGTAAAAATGTCAGAGGTAAAAATGTCAGAGGAAAAAATGTCTGAGGTAAAAATGTCAGAGGTAAAAATGTCAGAGGAAAAAATGTCAGAGGTAAAAATGTCAGAGGTACAGGCAAAACAAAATGAGTGCCATCATCATGTCTCAGCACTTTTATTACACTGAATGTCGAGACGTACTGCTACTGCATGGGCTAGTCTATTATATTCCTTTCTTCCATAATGTAAATTTTATAAATGGCTGTGTGTTGTATTTCGTACATTTCCTGAGGATAATACAATGTGGAAAATAGATTTTGAAATTTATTTTGTTGTGTGATCAGGCTTGCATATATGTATGAATGTCTAACATTTGTTGATATTTTGAATCGGTTGATGTGTTAATGTTTGTGAAACGGACCGGTTTGGCCGGTGCCAGCCTGCACCTATCCGCGTGTAACGTTCCAGAGACGAACAAAGTCCAAACGAAGAAATGAAAGTTCTCGACAAAAGTCAAGTGTTAAAGTGAGTAGTGCATTTAGTACAAATAGTTACATATAATCACGAGGAATCACGAAAAGTTACATATAAGGGTTGGGCGCCCCGAACTCTGCTAAAGCTTTAGCACCTCATGGCGGCAAAAGAAGTGGAGTAAAAATAAGAAAATCAAGAAGTCGCTCCGAAAAGTAAAAACTCGCTCCGAAAACTAAAAACCCGCTCCATAAAGTAAAAGACCGTCTCGATTCAGAAGCTCATCCCATTTTTAAACTCTCCGACAATTATAAATAACGATGTAATTTAAACCGAACCTCTGCAAAGCGCGCGCTTCTCTGGAATGTGATGGTGCGGTTGGCATTTAAACTTTAAAGATAAAGTTGAGTTCTGGTCTTGCGATTGCATTGTGAAAGAAACGGTGTGGAAGCAATCAGAAAAGGTTGA